CCTTTCTAGAATAGGTCTGACTTCAGGCAATCGCCATAGTAAGTTTGCGAGAACGCTGCTAGATAGCGAAGAGACGTCTTCATTTCTATGAGTGAATTACCGTGTTAAAGTTTATGAAGGGACTACCAACAGGCTGAATAACTACTTTGGTTTCCCTTGAATGCACCCATAAATCTTACTAAATATTTCCGTGGAGGCCAACAATTGATGAGTCTATAAAATAATTTTTTGTGTGCCCGGCAAAAGCGGGATATGCAATTAAACATAATAATGTGAATGAAATAACTGAAATCAGCTAAATATATGTTGATTTACAATTCGTTTCTATTTAATTGCAAGCCGTCGTTCAAGTCAGGCTTTAGCTTAGATCAGCTTGGATCAGGCCTGCTTTATACCGGCGGGCCTATGTTGGGCCTCACCCTTGGACCAAGCTTCCCAAGCTTCGTCCAATATTTCACTCCCGCCAATCTAGAAATAGGCTTGGCTTGTTCCGAATACTAATTCCTACTTGGAAACCGTTGTTCTCAGCCCTTCCATTATTGTCATAGTGCATCCTGACCCATACTACTTTGCCCCCCCCCCCCCAGGTTACTCCTGCCTTTTCCCACTAGCAAAAGTCCTTATCTACTTTCCTCAGTCTTTTATATTTCCTGATGAATCTCAAACTTCGTACCTTGACCGCATCTTCCCTTTGTACTTTGGCTCCCATATTTCTAAGAACCCGTCTAGCTTCTTCTGAAACTCCTCTTCATTAAAACCCCCTGCCCTGACCCTCCCATTCTCCTAGCGCTTCTCTGAGCTGGGTTCTCCACGCCGTAGGATTAGAGGTTCTTAGTGCTCTGAGCTTCTCAAGAAGACAGGTCTTAACCAGTTTGTCCTTCTCCAGACGGCTTACATCTCCCAGAAATCGTAGCGCACGTCTCCTGGTCTCGATGAGGAGCCTATGCCTACCACTTTCTGATCTCCACATGCAGTTGGTTGTGATATTCGAGATTCCCATTCTCATTTTGATGACTCTGCTCAGAATCCATTTCGTTGGTATTCTCCCCTTCTATCCCCAGAGCTCAGTGTCGTACATCGCACCAGCTACCCAATGGATTGAGTATGTATAAACGACTCTTAAGGGAGCTTAAGCCTGCCTTAGTGGCCACTTCCATGCCCTGATTACAGCTCGCACCACTTTCCCCGCCATTTTACTGACATGAGTTCCACTGGTATTCCAAGTGGAAAACTAGTATCCAAGATATTTGAAGCTACTTACTACTTCTAGCTCCTTTATGGTTTCTTTTCCAGGTTTCACATTTTTTCTTCGCCCTCCTTCTCTAAATATCATTATTTTAATCTTATTAACATTCATTTTATGTCTATTTTGACTGAAGTATCGCTCTGTAGTCTCCAGTATGCTCTGTAGTCCTCCGCGTCTTCCGCCACAGCCACAATCTTGTCTGCATATTTCAAGCAGAAATTTTTTTCTCGACTCACTACCCACCCATCCTCGTTTCTACTCTTCCACTTATCATCAATGCCGTCTATACATAGATTCAAAAGGATAGGGCCTGGAGAGCACCCTTGCCTCATTCCCTTGCCCGTGGCAAATCTCCTATATGGCTTTTACCATATCATAAAATCGCGCCTGCATGCTCAATTTCGATAGCTTCTATTTCTATAGTTCCTAACAATCTAGTAACGAAATATACTATTGTTGCTTAATGTCTGATTCTTGCAAAAGAAGGTGTTCAGCTAAATTAGATAGTACAGCGTCGGCATTCACTGCAATCATTAACGCTAAAGTAGTTCCAAAGTAGTCTCAGACATTACCACTGATGTCTTTGAAGCTTCTGAAATGACGGAACTTTTTTCTAGATTCTCGTGAGAGCCAAGTAGATCTGTAGCCATTACATCAGAGTCTTTCACTATCGTGCTCATAGAGTTCGCTGATGAGCTTTACAAGTTGCTTGGGCCACGATCACCAGATGATGCATTCTGTGGAGATTGCAGTTCTAAACTCGCCGGAGACTCAGACATTTTTAGTTTTTCCTCCTCAGACGCTGGACTCTCTGATGACTCTGGCTTTGGCCGTGCTGCAGAGTCTGCAATCCATTTCTTCTGGGGTGCTGGACTTTCTGAAGACTTCGGTTCGTAACTTGCCGAATAGTCAACAACCTTCACGCTACCTTTTGCTTCAGGCGCTGTATTCTCTAGGCACTTTGTTTCTGAGCTTTCAGGAGAGTACTATGTTTATTGTCTTTGTCTCCTCAAGTGCTGATGAATCATACTAGCTTTCACTCACATCAGATGGTCATGGCCTCCGAACTTAATTGGGTAGGAGTACTCCAATCATCACTGCTGACCAATTCTGTTTCAGAAATATCTGCAACCGCTGATGAGTTGTCTGTGAAGCTTCGAATGTCAGACTTTTCACTTGAATCTGAAAAGCTGATGGACTTAATTGCTTTCAATGTCAAATCTCATTTCATTCTCTCCGATGTTCCTAATTTCTTACATTGTAAGAATATATGATGCGGTAGTGATGTTCATACAAAACTGATCTATTAGGTAGTTTTAGTGGATTCACCGCACAAGTTGGAGAGATTGTTTGCCAAGCACAAACAAGTAAATGAGTGGTTGCCATATCACTATCAGGGGCTACACCAGGACCTTCCTCCAGGTATCAAATGTGAGGGAGTGAATGAATTCGTGAATGAAATTATTCAAGATATTCTGCATAGATATATCCGAGTTTTGAAGGAGTAAAAGTTCTTCAGAATGACCGACCAACTAATGATTTCAATGACGTTGGAAACCCAGATCATACTACAAGGAGAGGATCTGCTTAAATGTGTCTATCATCAGTGCCTTTTTGGCGGAGGTTCTACCTAGTAGCGTTGGGCTCATGAACATGCCTAACGTTTGAAAAAATGGTTCGCCAAATTTATCAGAAGGTCTCTGAAAAAATCCTTGAAAAAATATAGTAAAACTCCGCATTTGAATGCATTAACAGTCTCGGAAATTGCATTCCTCCCAAAGCACTCCATCAAAACCATTTCCAAGGATACCGTGGATGCAACTTGGGACACGTTGCTAGACGTAATAAAGGAGGATCCAAGCCCAACGCTTGGATCGCTGGTGTACATTATTGCCGTACTCATTGGTTTTCGATGACTACATTATCGTTTCATTTAGTCTCCCCACCGATTTCAAAATCCGAAACTAAAATCAATTCGAGACGTTGGAGTATCCATCCTTCGAGGCTGCAGCTGCACACGACAATAGTATATCATACCACCTTCTTCGGGAGAATGTTCTCATACCCTTGGAATGGTTCAGGTGATTACCTGTGCCAACGTTGATTATACATGTAAATCGAGTAATACGAGAATTCGACAGCCTCGCGACGGTTCACCTTTCATTTGTTGGCGTTCACGCAATTATTGTGAAGAACAATCATTTGTAAATACTCATTTAAAGATCTTTGGCTGAGAGAGGAAACAATGGAACATCTCCTGATTGAAGTCCATGTTAGGGCTGGGAATTTTCCTGAGTACGACTCACACAATGAGGGAACATGGATTGCAGATGCCGAGGTGTTGGAGTTCTTGATAGTGAATGTTAAGCAATGAAACACTAAATGAGAGTGGCGAGAGAGATGGCCAATGGAAAAGCACGAGTACAAAGACACTGTACACCTCCGTTATCAATGAAATACACTTTTGATGATAGATATCAACATGACGGTAAATCGTGGATTTGCAAGGATTCCAGAGACGTGCAAAGTTTATTGTGAAAGAATCGAGAAAGAATGCAGTTGCTATGTAACAATTATCAGACATTGAAGAATCCAATACGCATCCAAGAGGCTGAGGTTTTTGTTTATATGGCGCGTACGAGGTCATGGTAAACACATAAAAGGGCCTGTTCACGCCCATGAAGTTCCGATTTCAATATAAGACTTGACTCTAAAATTATCTCCAGATTTCACTGAGAGCATTTTGTCTGCCTCCATTATTTTTGGCATAATAGTTTTAAACAAGCAGTTGGCCGAGCCTATTTGTCAGGAGCCATTTAACCATTACTTTGTGCGTTAATGTTTACCTCATTTTTAATTTCTACCGATAAAATTGGTAGTAAGTTTCCAAATGGATCCGTAGCTATTTCGATAACGATTTTTTCGAAAAACAAGTTAAAAGGTTGATTTTCAAATCAACGAGGGGGTGCCTGATTGAGAAGTTGCTTCGGACTTTTTGATCCAGAATCCCGGCCCCATTTTTGGGTTGAAGGCTGAACGTTGGGTTTTGAGACACTTTGTTTAAAGAAATCATTAAACGTTCATCATTAACTTTAAATCATGTGTGTTAGTGTATTCGTTTCATTGTTAGCAGCAGTCTTAACTCTACGAAATTTAACTGCCAATTTAATATCAAGTGAATTGACTATAGAAATCCAATTTCGTCTATAAAAAACAAAGACTGATGAAATAATATTTAAATCATGAATATCTCGAGTGACATTCAATTGTTAGCTATTATTTAAATTTACCATATTCTCGACCTAACTTATGACGTTTTCGTTGAATCCAATTTTTCAACAGGCACCGATGAGCGGGAGGTTGCTAATAGAGCAATCGCCTGTACCGACATGGTTTTTTCTGTGGTTTCCCATGTCACTCCTATGATCTCTAGGAGAGTGAATATGGTACAGTGTAGGATCCATAACCGCATGCATAGGGTGAGATAGGGCTAATTAGCCAGAACAGGACAGAAAGGGCCGGAGTATTAAAAAAAAAACTTATGACGTTTTCATTTTCTTCAACTAGTTGATATTGCATTATCTGAATATTTTTAGTACCTAATAAGGAATAGTTTTAAACTGTATTTATTACAACAATTCATATCTACTTTCAGTGTCAGAATTTTTTTTTCTGCTATTGAAAAAACCTGTCTTGCTCTCTTCACGCAAATATTGTACACTGTGAATTTGAAATCGTTATGATAATGTTTCAGGTGTTATCAGACGTATGCAGACTGAACGGGAGTAATGAATGTATTAACAAGTGAAATGATTTGAATGGAAATGGAAGGAAATCGCAGTACTATCGTGCTACACTCACACATCTAGTATATACATAGTACATAATGTAAGTGACAAACCTCGCCTTCTGGTTCATGACTTGGATCAATGAATCGATGAATTGATTCATTCTCGTGTATTCCCTATCCTTTCCATCTTTTCTCGCCCTTCTATTATTTCAAATCTATCGATTATTGTTGTAAGATGTGTGGACAAATGTATATTGATCGATAATTGTGTGTTGATGTCAGTTTTGAATCTTGGGGGATACTCACCAACTATGAACATCAATTATATTTTTTATCAGGAGAATTAGTATTGCGCGTTAAGGTAGGAAGCAAATAAGAACGATATGAGGTGAAGGTCGTCATAATTTTCTGTACACTTTGGTCGGGGCATTTAATCGATGAATAATCATGCTATTATATTTATATTTTTCAATTTTGGTTTCAAACATCTAGAAATTCAGTAGTCATTATTTTTACCTTCATTGGTTGACTGGAAAATTTTAAAACTGTAGCAGCACTTGTGTGGTGAAATGGCGAAAGGAAATAAGTCTGAAACCGCATTGTGTTACTCTTTATTTCTTTATAAGTTCCAAGGAAAATATCCGGGCATTGTAGTAGTACGCAGTTTTACGTGTTGTGGAAAATGTTTACTAATTTTTCTCTTTTCGGTCCCATTAATCGTTAAGATCTTTAATACGGTTTAAGCGTAGCTATGCAAGAAAAATTACGGACTTTCCAAGAAAAACTATAAACCACTCCGAAAAAAGTCAACAACTGCCCTGAACGTTTGCATAGATGCCGTAATGGTTATTGTGGCAACGCAGATCGTTTACGATAGACCCACGTTTTTATTGATGAACCAAAACATATGATACTCAATTAAAGATGAAGAACAGTTTATCCAACTGCCGCTGAAATAGGTCACTATTTTGTTTGAGTGAACAGCGTGATGATGATAAAGGAAATATGAATATTACTTTGATTCATTGATGCGCACACTATAAGGCTTTCTTTCTTAAAAATTTCCACGGTATAGGCAACAGACAGAAAAAATAAACTTTTCAACAGCAAATATTTTGCGCATATTTTTTGAATGCCTCAAGAAACTCTTAGCTTATTCTCATGATGATAGAAAGTATGTATCATACAATGCAATCTAATTTTTCCCAATCGTAATTTTTCAAGTACTCGAAGACCTAACTATTTCAGCAGCAGTCGGGTAATATAAAGTACATTTTTAGTTGAGAATCATAAATTTTGGTAGACTCACAGAAGCTTTATGATATCGCAAAATGTTCCCGACTTTTTAATATAAATATATGGAAACCGGTGAGTGTAAAAACTTTCCTTATTAGTGGCAGTTCCAATATTGTGCGTCATGACAATATTTTATGAGCAGATTAGAGTTTGTGTGAGTATGGACATAAAACAATTTCAAAAGGTCAGGTTGATTGAAGAAATAAAAATATATGTAAACAGAGAATACAGTAGCTACGCTCAAATCCCGTGACATTCAAAGTGAATTATTAGGAAAGGTCTGCAATTGACCATTACCTGAATAGCTTCTGCCAGGGTATAATATATTATTCACAAAATGATCTATGGTACGAGTTTGAATATAGTTATATGTATACAGAGTAATGAGTGATAAATCAATTACTATGCAGTTCAGGCAGTGAAATAGTTTTATATAGAAGCCATGGACATTAAATTATTATGGGAGCAAGGCCAAGTGCATAGATTTTTTATATATTCCCTTTACCATTTCACCGCAGTGCATTATACTTATTAGGTGAGACATTTTACAAAACCGGCAACAATTTATGGCTTTACAAATGTCCGCAGAAACCAATTTATTGCCCTCTATATCTTTGAATGGTCAGCCACTGTATGAAAACGTTTTTACATCGATTTCTTTTATTAAATGATTTTGGTTGCCTTCATTACATTATAACATAAAAATTGAACGTTGTTTTCAATCGAAACTACTCTGAAGTGAAAAATAATTATTGTTATTCTAACGTGATTTTTTACGTGAAAAATAAAACTTAAATTAAAAAACCATAATTTGCCTCCGTTTTCCATTTTTTTTTCCATTTTGATTTTTGACTTGGTTTTTAGCTTTCAATGAGCTCTACAATAAACGAGTTATTGTGTGGTGAGCAACTATTCGCAGAGATAGACGGTAAAAAATTGGTTCCTGCCAGTATTTTGGTTTACATAATAAGTTATAAAAATATGGTTAAATAAAAATTTTAAGGCCAGAAATTGCGAAGAAATTTTATAAAAATGTCTAAAATATTAAATTTTCAATATCCCTGCTCATTCGTTGGAATACCAGAAAAATGAAGGTTGTTAGAAGAACTTAAAGAATGATCGAGTACATATAGCTGCAGACTTATTAAATTTCCATTGTGCAATAAATTGATTATTATCCACTTGCGCATTTTCATCAATAGAATATTTGGATCTATGAGAGTTCTGGGGTATTATCTCGAAAGTTTTCCGTAATACTGCGTAAACCATGACTACCGGCAAATGGTCGTCGCTGTTTTTTGATGAACATTTTGTGCGAGAAGCCGATTTATGGAATATCACTCAAATTCGTACGAAAACATATTTCCCATAACGTGGAGATTTTTCCACTTTTTCGCAAAAAAGGAGATGATATCTATTTGCAAGTTCTCATTATCTTATAAGTTAAAATTATACGTGGACAATGAAAGCACTCCGTAAGAGATGATACATCAGGACTCAAGTTAAATGGGATAAATCAACAGTTTGACAATAGAAATTGCAATAGTCAGAGGTTTTGTGCACATAAATCTAGTGTCAACTGTTCCTTCTACCATCTTAGATTTGACTCATATTAATTTGCCCTAACCAAATACTGTCAGAATCATACCGGCGTATTAGCATTATTACCGATAGACCAAATTTATTTATGATAATATATTGAGGTTAAAATGTCCTGATGCCATCGGAAGTTGAATGTAACATGAGAATACGAAAATGAAAGACTTTTGCAATGCTCATTGCACTGCTCTTTCAATTTTCGGAGCATTACCAGAACCATGAGTATGATGGTGAATAGAATATTGAATTGATAACATTCAAAAACATTGACAGACTCTGAGTTTATAATGACGTGAGTCGAAAATGGAGTAAAGTGGAAGGTGGAGCAAAGTGGAACGTTCCATTTATTTTGACCTTTATACTTTAAAAAACAGGATAACTGTTTTACTTTGCTTTGCATTTCACCTTATACCAACTTCCTTTATTATTAGAGACTGATTAACACAGTGTCTACAGCAAAAAAAATCGGAATGAACTGCTCAGCTATTAGATTCAAATTTTCTCCAAAAAATTTAAGTTCATTATAGAAGTTAATATTCCGTTGACTATTATATGGTAAATGTCGCCTTTTTTTCTGGTAAACCTCAGATCAGATTACGGATGCATTTTATTTTCATTGAAAAACAAAATTTCTACGGATTGATTAAAGTCTATTGTGTTAAATTCTGATATTTTCCATGTTTTCACTCTATGTATGATATTCAAAATTATGAATATTATGAATTCTTCATTATAAACAAGTATTGACCATAACTCGAACAATTGGCATAATCATAGTATTAAAAATGCACAAATTCCATCTTGTTTTTTTCTCAATTCCGATTTCTCATTCGTTTAGGTAGTAAAATATTGAATGATTGTAAGCGAATTTTTATCTAATTTTCTGGCCTTTAGCATTATTTTTTCTGTAAACATGAATTAACATTGATAAATGATGTTGATTTATAAAATAAAAAGTGTAAATACATAGAGAACAGTATTCAAATGGTATTTTTCTTTGTTTTATAAATCCCCCCTATCTTATCAAATCGAGTCGAAACAATTGATATTCAAGGATTGGTGAAAAAAGATAACTGTCATGATCTCTTTATATTTTATTATTTAGACATCCACAAAACGATTCCTATTTCCTTCAACGAAAATGGAGAAAATTTGACGAAAACAATCAGAATACATGGTAGTATATTATTTAATTATCCATTTGAAGAATTTCAAAATGCTCAGAACCACACCCTTGAGTCGGGATTCTTAATAATATCTTATAAAACAAAAAGATTGCTTTCAACTAAAGATCTAGAAGCGATTTACCTCTCCAGCAAGGAACCTGTCAGTCTTGGGAGGTAAATCCAAAATAGTAATTTATCTTACAATGACCGCAAAATACTTTGGCAACGTTTTAAAAAAAACATGTTGTTAAAATGCTTTTCAGATTGTGTGGCATCTATTATTTCATATCATTGCTTGCTTCGCGCAGTTACAAACGCGTTTTCGGCCATAAGAACGTAAAATAGCATCATAGCCACGGCCACAAAAGTGATTGACTTTTTTCGTCCTAGGCGTAAAAAATACTATTATTTTACGAGGCCTGACCAACCGAGCACTTTTACCGCCTTAGGTAGGTAAGTAGAAAGAAATGCACTAAGCAGGCAGCTACCGCTCTAGGGCAATAAAAGTACGAGGTTAGGCTGGGCCGAGTGACATGCATGTTCAATTGTAATGACAATTTAATTCCTGAAAAAAGGAAAAAAAAGGGGGGGGGGGGGAAGGTTGTACTCGGGGCAGTGAAGCCAGATGAGGGCGAAAATCCCATGCATGGAATTTCCCTGCACAGCTTTCCCGCGCATTCTTGAGGCCCCAACTAATGTACACGCGCAAAGCCCGTAATTATAATTTAAATGCGCATGTTTAATTGTGTAAATTCATGACTGAAAATCTAAAAAATCAATGAGTTCTGAATTCAAATTAGCCGCCCAAGGTGACTTGGCACCATTAGGAAATAAGTGCCACAGATTTTTATGATATCAATAATTAGATAATGAGATTAGCTTCGCAATTGTTATTAACCACTCTTCCTCCGAGATATTTGCAACGAATGAATTCATCCCTTCATCGCTTGCATGAAAAACAAAGGGTATTCATGCAAGGACGTCTTTGGGCTAGTCGTCAGCGTGCTGGCCCTCTGACCAAAGCGTCCCGGTAGCGCAGGTTCGAGTCCCGATGGCGAAAAATTTTTCATCGTCGGAAAACGAACCCAGTGCCTGTGGAAGTTAGTTATAAGGTAGCTAGATAAAAGCGCGGGTAGGGAATTAGGTTGGGGTACCGCGTAGGTACTGGGAAAGGGTTGGTAAAAGACCCACTAGGGTCATACCATCTGGCACCACCCATCTGTGTATCCATGCCAATTACTTTTTCTGTGTGTGGTGCATAACATTTTGTTTGCTTCGACATTTCTTTAGAACATTAAGAAACATTGCACTAGTCCACTCTTCTTTTGTAGCCTTCTTCTGGTTCTCTAGAATTTAAAAATTGGTTTAGAATCGAAGCCCATTTTACAGGGCCTCAAATAATGAACACCGAAAATTGAATAAAGCTCAATAAATAGTATTCAATGCTCTTTTTGGATTCTACTCTCAATCTATTCAAAAGATTTATTACAACAGCTACTGGAAAATTGGGTCGTATCGTCGGTTGAATTCTAATGTTTAAATTTAGCGCCATGCAAGCAACGCGCTAAAAGCTGCGCAGTAGAACACAATCGAAGAGTGGGGACGTGAGGGACTTACTCCAGGCATCACTGACTCGGAGGGGATTTCAGATTGAAGAAAGATTACATGGATTTCCAATTTCCTAATACAACTGATTCACAAATAATTCATAAATAATATTCTTTTGCCTTTTATTTATGAACTGGAGGGGAAAGGGTACGGTTAACCTGCTTCCGGCAAAGATCAGAAAAAAGGGGAGACTCTAGGAAAATGCAAACGGGGCGAAATTAGAAGGGCCGATCCGGGAAAACTTAATAATTAATAAACAAGAAGATTCTCTTGCCTTATCATAACTAAAAAAAATGAGGCTTACAAAATAATAAGAGAATACTCCAAAATTCAATAACCATGAGGCTCACCGTTGGGGGAAAATAAATACGAGACAGGGAAAACTCGTTGGGGCAGGGAACAAAAATGGGGTACTTGGTGAGGACAACTCAATTATTCTTGGGGTTGTTTCCTGTTAAGATTCTGCTTCGCCCCAATATATTAAGAAAAGAGAGGACGTCTTGAGGCTCGTCGACAGCGTGCTGCCTCTATGACCAAAGCGTCCCAGTAACGTAGGTTCGAGTCCCGAAGTCTGATAGTCTGGGGAGTTTAGTTACAAATTAGCTAGAGGAGAGTGCGGGAAGGGAAGTAGGCTGGGGGACTGCGTAGTTACAGGGACAGGTTGATAAAGACCTACTCATACTCATACCATGCCAGAGCACCCTCCAGTTTATTTATTTTTTATTAAGAAAATAATAAACAAATAATAACAATATATATCAAATGTTAAATTTAATTGAAACATTCAAAACTATAGAACATTTTTTTTAACCCAAATATGCACTCCACTTTTTAGATGTGTAATTTCATTTTGATATTGAAAAAAAAATTATTTGTCTAGAAACAATTCCATGCTTCCTTTTTTTTCACTAGATACCGTACAATTAACACGCGAATCGTCAATAAATCGGGTTGCGTAACGAAGTTTCCCTTGAAGTTCTCTTTGTTTCTGATTTAAATATTGTTTTATAAAACCCGAGAATCGATAAAAGTATTCATATTCATGGCGTGATTCTAAATGGAAAAGTCCTCTTCCACTTTCTGATTTGAAGTATCTCTGAGGAAATATTTCGGTGAACAGGACAGCTAATGTCGCTTTTTTGAAGTTATACGTCCATGTGGGTGTGTGCATCAGTGTCTATCATCCCCTTCTTGTGAGCCCGAGGGGGAACAGGGTTCTCCTTCGCATGAACAGGATGCGGGGCAGA